GCTTGCCTCCTACCGCCACGTCTCCTCACTGCACAGCAAACTATCGTTCGCCTCCAGGCGCTTGAATCAGTTGGCGGCTCGTCTAAAGGGGGCAGGCTTCGTGGGACAGGGTGTATGCATGTTCTGAGGAACAAGGTGCGTTCTCACCGACACCTCGCACTGCAGGAATTGGAACTGACTTATTACTCAGACTACTCCCAGTTCTGACCTGGGGCTCCTGGTGAGTTTCCGTCTTTGACTCTGACCTGATTATCCTATATTGACTCATACCCATAGGACCGTATGCGCGGCCGAAGAAGATCTCGCGCCTCGCATGCTCTGCCGTTTCGGGATGTTGATGGAGTGCCGGGATTGGAGGCCGTCAAGTACAGTGAGATGGTGTCGATGCGGACTTGTTTCACCCGTAACATATCGTAACATTATGTATTGCCTGTCCTCGGCATGATAAATTAGAATAAATCATTTCATTGAATTCCACTGCAACCCCAATCTAAGACACAAAAACAAGGATAAAGGCCGCAGCAGCCCAAGCTATAGCGAGTGGTGGGCCACCGTATTGGCGAGCTTTTTGCGGATTTTAGCGATAATCTGGCCGCAAATTCGCGTACAATGGTCGGGACCTTCCGAATCTGCTAAAGTGCCAATTGGTGCCAATTAGCGATTATTGGCGCGGTTTATGAGGAGAGGAAACTCCAGATGTGTACGAGATCAGAGACCGATATAGTTTGGTATGACTGGCGAATGATGCGTAGGGTATTCAACCACTGTAACCTTCACCATCGTCCGGAGAGTGCCCCATGCGATCCAATGCCCGACTCCCTTCGGTATGAGCAGCTCTCGCAAGGGCGCGCCCTTTTGCTGTCGAGCATACACAAGATCGATCAGACCGACAATCACGTCGCTGCTCGCTGTCTCGTCCCCGGAAAGAGGAAGCGCGAGTTGGTCCATCTGCGGAAATAAGATGCCGGCGGAATCGATACTGTCGCCGCTAAGATGCTCAGTACAGAGCGCATCGAAAAAACTTGAATAGTCGTAGGCGTCCGCGCTCTGCAGAAGTCCCACGCTCCGAACTTTCTTCGCGCGGAGTAGTCCCGGCCAGAGGTTCTCGCTGGAGAGCGCGCTCGTGACTATTTCATCAAAGGACAGAGTATGGAGATGCCCAGCGGCGAAGAGATGGAGATACCGGTAGAGTTCCAGGGGATTCGGGCACATTAAATCTCCGAATGTAAAGTGAGCGGTGCATTCGTAGGGAGGTCGATGAGGAGAGGTCGAGCACTCTGGTGGAATGGAGGATGATACAAGCCGGACGGTGTATTGCGTTAGCTGAAGATGTTGTAGCTCCATATCTTCGTAGTCGATGAGGGAAAGCAGGGGTAGAAGTCGAGCCAGTATTTCCTCGATAAGGGCCATATCGTGTTCTAGGCCGTACATCCCAAGATAGCGATCACACTGAGGCGGCGTCTTCAGGACCGAGCTCAACATCAGATTGTTTAGGGATATGCCGCTGTCACTGTCGATTGTAGTATGGATGCGCATTCGCTTGAGGAGCGGAGATAGAACGATATTGGGAAGCTGGTTTAAGGCAGTGCCGAAATGGGGATTTATGCCTCTTAACTCAAGCACCTCGAGAGATTGCAGTAGGGATAGCAGGTCACGAAGGTCCTCGTAGGACGAAGGGGGGGCAAGAAACTCGTATCCGATGTCTAGCTTGGTCAATTTTGACGACATGACAGCCGATCGCCAAGGCACTGCGTAGTCCCAGAGTGTGAGACTCGTGACCGACGGTAGATTGCGGAGAGGTGCGGGCAACTCAAGAACGTCTTCATCTTCAAAGGCAGATACATCGAGCCGTTGCAAGAGTTCCATATTCAAAGGAAGACGTGACCATAAATGGTTAGCGAGATCCTCATCTGCGCAGATGTACAGACTCCTCGCGTGTCGAAGTATAGCAGGGGAGAACCAGGCATTCAGGCTAGGATCAGCCCGCGCCTGGGTCGACTCGTGGTCACAGCAAAGGACAATATCAAGAGTAGACAAGCGAGATCGCATTAGAATCTCGGGTATATATTGGTGAGGAATGTCGAGAATATCGATGGCTTGTCCGGACCACAGCGAGGGCACATTGAGAGCAACCTGCACCCATGTCAGCCTGGTAGTACTCATAAGAGGTTGTGTTGCATCTCACCTCCCTCCAGAAGCTGCACACATGAGTTACAGTAATCCACCCAGAGCAGAAGACGCAATCCGCCTCGGCAGGATCAGGCCTGTCGGGCTCGCGTCGCGGCAGCCAGATAGCTTGGAGGTATTCGAAGATATACACAAGAAGCTCTCGTGGAAGAGCACAGGCGTATGTCTGCATGTTTCGCATGCGACGCGCTTTACAAAGGGCCTGCTCCACGGCATCCAGCTCGTGATCCATGGACCGCACGCGCACTCCACGCGGTGCGCTCGCAAGCACATACTCGGAGAAACGGGAGGTAATAGACGACGTCAAAAGGGTTCTTGGTGACATAGTCAGCATCATGATGACGAAGAGCACTGGATGAGAGAGCGTACTGGGATCCATCGTCTGTCATGGTGGTAGAGAGTGAAACTCCGGTGAGCCATGGACTCGTCGCGTCAACGTCGCGTCAACGTCGCGTTGACGCCTGTTGGCGCTGGGCGCGATTCAAACGCGACCACGTGAGATTTTGGATACGCACCCTCACTGTCAGTCTTGTTGACCCTTCCGAGCGTTTGCTGACATACCCAGGAGTATGATGCACTTATACAGCATCACATACACGGAGCGTATCGTAAACAATGTACCAGCTCCGTATGATGAACACTAGTACTTCAAGTACTTAGTATGGCGTTGCTTAGGTCCGGGCCCGGGTAGCGGGATTTATCATACACTGAAGCTCACAGTAGCATGTATTACCTCCATCAATCGCTCTCTCCTACTCTATCTGAGTGTAGTCCCTCAAATGTGCCTACGTTATCATCCTTATCAAGCACCGAATTCGGCCCACTACCGCCCAAGCCATGCTCCCGGACATGGAACCAGTCCTGCAAGAGCAGCTCCCGCGCAGACAGCCGGTCATGGGGAAGTATCCTCAGCATTCCTCGCAAAAGCCGAAGTAATTCCGGAGTATAAATGTCGTAGTGGTGTAGGATCTCCTCAAGCGACATCTTGCTCGTGACTTTGGCGCGCAATCCCTCTTCTACGAACATCGGTTAGACTCGAGAAGCAGGTAGATGTACCCAGCACTAGCGACGCACCGTGACTGAAGAGTTCCGCAGCCCATCTACCATGGGAGAGATAGTTATTCAGCGTCGTATCGGATTCCTGTGGCAGTTGCAGGTAAGAGTATATGTGCGCGAGGTGGAACTGGTTCCTCGAGACGAGCAGCTCGTCGTTCGCATTGCGTGTCTCTTGGGAGACGAATAGTCTTGTGCCGGCAAGCAATTCAAAGATCTACGTAGTTTGAGTCAATTCTAGGGTTTCCGGTGGAAATGAGCGGTACGCACGAGACAGCCCAGGTTCCAAATGTCCGCTTTTGCGTCCCATTCAAGACCGGCGATGACTTCGGGACATCGGAGCGTCGTCGGTTGTATGAGTCCATAGTGATCACCGTGTGCAGGCACGGCTGAAACGAACGAAGGTTATAAAAATGACGTTCTCGTGTACGACTGGAACATCCTCCTAACCTTCCCCAAAATCCGCCAGAGATATCGAAACTTCCATAACGTTAGTGTCTGTGGCACCGAAGTCGTCCAAGATAATATTGTCCTGCTTGATATCTACGTGGAGATCAACAATCAGTACACCTTCGCGTGAGTTCGCAGATCTATGACCCACCTGTATGTACGATCCCGCACTCGTCATGAAGAAACGCGAGAGCTTGCAGGAGCTGTCTGCCGAAATGGCGCACGACGCTCGAGGGAAGCCTCCCATTCTCGAACTCCGCTTGTAGCTCTCCCACATGGTGACCGAGAACGTTCGTCACGAGTGCGAGGTGGTCGCCAAGCGGCGACGAGAGCGTGAAGTCGTCCAAGAATTGTACGACATGACTGCTCCCAGGGTCGTCGGGCTTGCGCCGAATCGCATCCTTGATGATCCTTAGGAGCTCTAGCTCGTACGAGAGCCCCTGCTCGTCCATCTCGAGCCGCGTCGCGCGTCGGGTTAGCACTTTGACAGCTCGTAGCGGACATCTGTTCAAATTGCGCGTCTCAGCTCAGCGCGGGAATGTAGACGACAGGAGAAGAGAGGACGCGCACTTCCCGACGGATGTATCGCGGGCAAGCCAAACGGACGAGTGTCTGCCGAACCCCAGCTCTTCAACGACCTCGTAGCGCCCATTCAGCAATGTCTCCTTCTCGAACGCTAGAAGTGTATCCTGGCGAGAACATCAGCGTTATTGCCCGTTGCGGTGCAGAGGGTGCTTACAGTGAGAGCGTCGTCATGTACGTCTACCAGTGTTTCTTCAGACATGACGGAAGTAAGTTCAGAGGGAGCGCAAAGCAAGCGATACACTGCTATCGCGCATCGTTTTTGTTCATGCCATCCTCAAGTGGCGTTGCTTCTCAAGCGACCGTGAAACCCGAGCAAGCGCGCAAGTGACGGGGGGATTGGAGTGGCGGTTCTTGCGCTAAGTCACGGAACGGGTGGGCGAGGCTGAAGCGTCATGGGGTCTCAGGAGCAATTGCGCATGTGCAGTATTATCGCCGAGCTCTGGTATATTCAGTCGTGGACGTGACGGTAGGGAGTAAGTCTCCGGCACTCCCAGACGCCGAGCGTGCGACCTGCCACGATGCTATACGCGAGCACGTGAGATAGCCCTCTGCGTATGAGGCCACGCGACCGCGACTCGGACGGCCCACAAATCGTCCATGGCAATACGGCAACGAATGATGCTCCTGAATTCCGTTAGGTACTCGGTGCGAAGCCTCTCAAGCTTTAATTTATGATTTGCAGTTCTTCATGGAAAGCACGAGCTTAACACCCAGTAGCATCCGATCGTCACCATATCGAAAGCACGTTCATCTATTACATCGCGCGAAACCAGTACAAATACATCGCATCAGATCAACATTCTCACATCCTCGCACGGAATGCCTTCTCAGCAACCTCCCTCGCATCTTGCACCTTCCCGACCTCAGTGCCCACACCCTGCGCTCCATCCTCCTTCCCACCAGCCTTCCCACCAATAACCTCGCTGACACTCGCCGCCCACGACCTTCCATCAAATCCGGGTACCCGGAGGGACTCGGGGATATGGTTGACGTGTGCGACCTTGCCTCCTTCGGTGTCCGCGCTGAAGACGTATACCGCTTTCCCGAGCTTCTTCGCGGAGAGGACGACAGCTTGGAGGATCTACACATCGCAATCAGCATGGAATGCGCAGTGTTAAGCGGGTTGGGAATGGCTTACCTTGACGTTCCCATCGACAGGCACAACAGCGAAATACGCCTCCTCATCCGGCTTCTCCTTAAAGAACGTCGTAACAGCCTCAACAGCCTCCTTCTGCGCCCTCGTCTCCCTCTCCTTAACCTCCTTATCAAACGCCTTCCGCACACCCGCCAAGCGTTCCCTCAGCGCGTTCTTCCGTATAAGACTGATATCCGCCTGGCCGAGCTCGACCTGCAGCGTCTTGAGCGCCGCGTCTTTCGCTTTGCCCGTGGCGTTCTCGGCGGAGACGAGCCGGGCCTCGAGCGTGTCGGCCGTGCGCGTCACGGAGGCCGCTTCGTGGCCTGTGACGGCGATGATGCGGCGGATGCCCTTCGCAATGCCGGATTCTTCGGTGATGACGAAGTCCTTGATGTCGCCCGTGCGCGCGACGTGTCTGTTCAAACAACGCATCAGCACGATGTAAGACAGATTATAGAAAGAAAGGGCACGCACGTCCCGCCGCAGAACTCCACGCTCGTCCCCCTCCACTTCGGATTCTCAATATCCGCCGCAATCTCATCCGTGCTGAATTCCAGACTAACGACCCTAACCGGGTCCGGATACGCCTCCCCAAACACGGCCCTCAGCCCCGGAATCTTGTGCGCCTCCTTCAGATCCATCTCCTTGCTATACACCCTTACATTCCTCCTAATCCACTCCTTGCTCATCTCCTCAATCTTGACGAGTTCCGGCCCCGTAACGCCGGCCTTATGGCTGAAATCGAACCGGAGCTTCGTAGGCGCGACCAACGAGCCCTTCTGGTCGATATGGTCCCCCAACACCTCCCTCAATCCGAAATTGAGTATATGCGTCGCCGTATGGTTGTTCCTCAACGGCCACCTCCGCAGCTCGTCGTACTGGCTGACAACCCTATCGCCCACTTTAATCTCCCCCTCCTTCAACCGCCCAACATGCAACACGTATCCCCTATAGCTCTGCACATTCTCCACGGCAAAATCGGCGCCCTGCGCGCCGTCGATGACGATATTGCCCGTGTCGTACTCCTGCCCGCCGCTCTCGGCGTAGAAGGACGTGCGGTCGAGCAGGATGCCGAACGGCGCGCCGGAGGGGATCGAGGCGGTCGAGGAGGGGAAGGAAGAGGCGTGGTAGAGCGCGACGACCGTCGCGTCGATGTTCCCGAACGCGAACTTCGCGGAGTCGTCCGTCTTGGGCACGGAGGGCATCTTCTCGAGCGCGGCGAGGTCGTGCACGTCGAGTTTGACGGTGATGCCGGTGTCCTTCTTCGCGTTGGCTTTGCTCGCTTCTTTCGATGCCGCCTGTGCCGCTTCGAATTCGGCCTGTATCGTAGCGCAGGGTCAGCATAGGAATATGTTAAAGAAAGATAGAGATGCACCTCGTTGACGCCCAATCCGAGCTCCTCGGCCATCAAACGCGTGAGATCGACGGGGAAGCCGTACGTGTCGTACAACCTCCAGACGTCCTTCCCGTTGAGCACCGCGGCGCCCTATACATCATGAGCTACATGTTTGTGAGACGAAGAGGGAAAAGAGCGTACCTGCTCCTTCGCAGCGCTCGCGTACTGCTCAAACAGCTTCTCGCCACGATCAAGCGTGCGGCTGAAGCTCTCCTCTTCCTCGTCCAAGATCTCCTTGATCTCGTCCGGCCTCTTCTTCAGCTCCGGGAACGTGTCGCCCTGTACCTCAAATGAGCATCTCCACTCCTCAACACACAGGTATAGAAACACGTACGAGCTGCTCAATGAGCACCGGCATCAACGAGCTAAAAAAGCTCCCAATAGTAACGCCCATCTTCCTCCTCGCAAACCTCGCCCCCCTCCTCAAAATCCTCCTCAACACGTACCCGCGCCCCACATTATTCGGCACCCCGCCGTCCGCGAGCGCAAACGTGAGCGTCC